TCATGAAAAGTAGGGCCTAACGGTCTAAGGGTCAAATGTTCAACTGGGCCCAACAGCAACTTCTGACTGACCATGAGTGCCCATTCTGGGCCTCAGTTGACTGACGGTGACTGGCCTCCCTTGCAGAACTTTGTGCTGAGGTTTGGGGAATCGCATTTCCTTTTTTTCTCACAAATATTCCAAATCCCCATTTAGGTGGTATTATGACTGAAGGGGGAGGGGGTTGAATAAATCTAATCTTTCCCCTAAAGTTATTTTCACTAAGGAAAAAAGTGATTTAAAAATGTTTAAATCTTTAGCGTCAGTAGGCCTTAGAGGGTGGGGAAACCAGTTTTTCCCTACTCCAGACTCTTGTGTTGTTGGTATTCCCTCACCCCACCCCTCAGCACACCAACATCCCTTGGGCTATGTGTACCACAGCCAGTTTCTGGAGACGGAGAAGCCCCCAGAAAAATGGCATTTCAAGAAGACCCAGGTCTTCTACATAACATTCACGGATGGGCCCCAGGATCACAGGAACTTAGATTTCAAGCTGGAAGAGACTTCAGAGACTGCTGGGTTCAACTCCTCCCCTTCCTTCCCCATTTTTACAAATGAAGACACTGAGGCCCAGAAAGATTAAATAATTTACCAAAGGTCACACAGGCAGTAAATGGTAGAGTCCGGATTTGAACCCAGGCCCTCTGGCTCCAAATTCAGTGCTACTGAGTCCTATAGGCCCACTTTGGGAATCATCAAATAATTGCCAGCATTTATGTAGCACTTTGGGGCAGCTAGGTGGTGTAGTGGATAGAGTGGAGTTCAAATCTAGTCTCAGACACTTCCTAGCTGTGTGAGCCTGGGCAAGTCACTTCACCCTGTTTGCCTCAGTTTCTTCATCTGGAGAAGGAAATGGCAAACCATTCCAGTATCTTTGCCAAGAACACCCCAAATAGGTCACGAAGAGTCGAACACGACTGAAACGACTTAACAACAACGTAGTGCTTGAAGATCTGCGTATATTATCTCATTCGATCCTTACACAGTCTTGTGAGATGCTGTGACAGTATCTCTTACAGATGAGGAAGCTGAGGCAGACAGAGGTTAAATGACTTGCCCAGGATCCCACAGCTAGTAAGTGTCTGAGGCCGGATTTGAACTCAGGAAGAGTCTTCCTGACTCCAGGTCCAACACCACCTAGCTGTCCTGTGTGAATGAACGCACAATGGAACAGTCTTCGGTTTTGTCAATTTAAGAGACACCATCAAAAAGGAGCCTGGAGATCCAGTGCTGGTCAGTGGATCTTAGTGGGGCCTCATAATGGCAGTTTTGTATTTAAATAGGGAGTTTCTAACTATAATAAAGAATTGAGAGGCAGCCTGAGAGTTGGACAGAGCTGTTGCCTCTGACCTTTACTAGCTGTGTGACCAGCCATGGACAAGCCAACCCTCTGTACCAGGCTCTTCTCTAAGCCTCTGAGTTACATGGGGTTTGCCAGTCAGGAAGCAGAGAGGGAGTTCCTACACCAATTCCATCACGAATCTTAAGTCTAATAACAATAATAGTGATGATGATGATGATAATAATAGAGAATTAGTAGCTTGATTGAGATCTACCTGACCTAATCAAAACCGGGTAGACTTGCCTCCTTTTATTTGAATGAAAATGGCATCCTTGAACGTGAGCCTCAGCTGAACACATTCTCTGCTTCAGGAGTGTTATGCCAGTATCGTCTCCTCCTAGACCCCCTCAAAGGCCACGTCAACACATCAACAGAAGTTGGGGGAAGGGAGATAAAGTCTGGCAGGTGTTGCCCAGCTGCCAAGGCTTTGAGGGGGCCTGGCAATGTGGTGTGTGTGTGCATGCGCGTGTGTATGTGTGTGCGCGTGTGTGTATGTGTGTGCACGTGTGTGTGTGTGTGCGCACGCGTGCGCCAGTATATTGTGTCTCTCTGTGCTTGCAGTATACTCTGAGTGTGCCTGTGGGTTCCTAAGGCCTACCCTCGCTAGGTTCAGAGGCTTGGCACCAGCTCAGCCATAGGGCAATGAAGTCTTTGGCCCCAGCAACTCTGAGAGAGCAGCCTAGTAGGCATGGGAAAGGTACCTAGACCCTTGAAATACTCAAGTGAAGTATGTGGTATTTAGAGATACAGCATGGTATAGTGAATAGAGGGCCAGCCTTGGAGTCAGGAAGCCCATGGGCACATCCTGGTTGCCATTACTCGAACTCAAGGCAGGTCACTTATCTTCTCAGTACTCTGGGCATCTCTTTAAGGCCATAATTTGCAAGTGATATCTGCTTGCTGGTCTGCATCAGGAGAAGTTTCTGCATTGGAAAATCCCTACAGACTGATCTGGACCCCAAACAAATGTAGACCACAAATCTCAATACTGTCTCCATGTTTGAGTGGTGGAGGTTGTCGATAGAATTATGTCCTATGTTGTTCTGACCCTGAGGGGATTACATCATGTGAGTGGAAGGCCATTGGTCTTTCCTAATCCCAAGGCCAGCTGTAGTCTTTTGGACTTGGGGGAGGAGGGGAGCTGATTCCAGGAAGTGGTTAAGATGGGTAAATTTGCCTGTTTCACTTCAGGTAGGTCATTTAATTGGGAGATGTTTGCTCTTGGGGCTATCACTAGCAGGGCGGGACTGTTTAAGTTGTGTTTAGATGCACTGGTTAAGTAACTATCCCATCAGTGCCTTCCCCTTTGGGCCATGCACAAGCCAGGGCTAATAGGTGCATTTGGGGGGATATGTTGTGGTTTCTGGGGCAAGTAAGCAGCAGTTCTTAGAGCAGCTAGTTCAGGCCAGATATTCCAGGGGTGGGGGGTGGGGGGGAGGGGGGGGGTGGGTGAAGGGGGTAGAGGGGTGGGAGGGATAGCAATGCACACTCAGGAGTACTTTGAACAACGTGCTGACCTGACATTACACAATAGACCCACTTCTAAAATGTTTGTGTATAAAGTACATCTATTCACTCCAATTTTCCTATTGGCATCAATTAGAATTTCAGCACTGTGCTCTCCCACACAGAGGGGATCTCAGGGTTTGTGTCTGTTACATTCAAGAACCCCAGCCTTGGCTAAAAGAAACATTCTTTCTTTGTTAACGGATGAAAAAGTCCCACGGTGGACTTTTCCAAATACCCACGATCTGTCCATGCCGCGTTGGCTCTCAGAGCCACAGCCTCAGGGTGCCAAATTTTGAGATCACTCTAGCTACGTAGAAATAACAACTGGCAAAGAATATTTAAAATAGGAAGCTGCCAGGTAGTAGACTAAGCTGATCTCCCAGCCTTCCCTGCTCCCCACTAGCGTCACCCTGCCATGCCCCAACTGAGGGCTTTGTTTGCCTTGGACATAGCGTATAGTGCTTGCTTGTGTGCAGAAAGTTCCTAGTTCTGGCTCTGGGCACTCCATGCACCTTTGCAGATTGCAGCCAATCCATGCCTTCCCATCCTTTGGGATTCTTGTCCCTGTCTTCCCATAAGTGCCCTAGGAAGAGGATCTGTCCTGTGCGCCGAAGGCCTTCTTCTTGGTCTCTTTGTATTTCATTTCATGGCTGCCAGTGCCATACTTAGGTTCTCCTTCTGTTAGTCCTTATGCATGATGGGTAAAAACCACAAGTGTTAAAGTTCTCTGGTGGGACTGTCACACTCTTGATTTTTGAGATTCCAGTATGATCTACCGCAAATGTCTCAGCCTCAGTATTTCATATTTTGAAGGTTTTGTGATGGTTATAATAAATGAACACAAAATACCTATTAAATGAAATTGTACAAAATAACATTAAATCTATAATACAAGAATTTTGCTCTTCTATTTCAAATCAATTCCTTAAGAATAAGCAAGATAGGGATTAGGACTGGCCTTTTTATTGATATAGGGAACTCCCAGGTGGGGAAACTCCATCTACCAATGCAGGTCAGCGTCTTCTCTGCACCTTAGAGCCACAACTCAAACCCAAAAGAGATATAGGGCCACAGAACCATACAGAAGGATCCCTGTAGGCCACAGTACTTGGCCAATTTGACACCTCAAGCTTAGAGGGTTCAGAGGAGAAGGAATTTGCCCAGGGTCACATAGCCAGTATGTGTTAGGGGCAGAACTTGAACCTTGATCTTCCTGGTACACAGTAGGCACTTAATAAATGCTTGTCAACTGTCTGACTGACTCACTGGCTCCAAGGCTTTCTCTCTGTCTGTCTGTCTACTACAACAGGGCTGCCTTTAAAAGAAGATCTATTCCTTTTGAAAGTAAGCCCTCAGGGCAGCTCTGTGGCACAGTGGACAGAGCAGGGGCCCTGGAGTCAGAAGGACTTGAGTTCAAATTTGACCTCAGACACTTACTAGCAGTGTGACCGTGGGCAAGTCACTTAACCCCTATTGCCTTCCCCACCCCCACCCCCACCCCCCAAAAAAGTATATCTGGTGGCCACAGTTCTTCACTGACCAAAGGAAGATTTTTACTATCTGGAGATATCATAGGGGAGGGTAAAATAAAACTGGGGGAGTAGCAAGTTGGGGGATATGACATCCAATGTGTGCAGGGAGAGCAAGAGGAGAAAGGAAGGAGCCTGAGCTTAGAGAGCCCAGAGTTGGAAGGGGCCTTACTTTTTGTTGCATGTCCTGGACCCCTCAGGCAGTCAGTCTGAGGAGGTCTATGGACCCCTTTCTCAGATTTAAATGCACAAAATAAAACATGTAGAATTACAAAGGAAACCAATTATGTTGAAATGCAATTATCCAAATCTTTTTTTTTTTTTTTTTTAAAGAAACAAGTTCACAGATATGATAAAAACCGAGGCCCAGAGAGTGGGAGGGACTTGCCTGGGGTCATGTGGGCAGTAAGAACCAGAGCTGGAATTCGGATGCAGGTCCTTCCTATTCGAAAGCTGGCGCTTTTTCATGACACACACCATCTAGCCTCCCCCAGAAGGCAGTCAGATTGTGGAACGAATATTTGTTTCCCATTTCGACCATTTCATTAACTCTGCTAAGTTAGCATTTGTTCCTTTGACAGAGACAGCATAGCATAGTGAGAGGAGAGCCACCCTAAAGCCAGGAAGACCTGGAATCAAGTCCTGCCTTTAACACCCCCTGGCTGTGTGACCCTGAGTAAGTCACCCTTCTTTCTCAGTGTGCCCGGGCAATTGAAGAGGTACAAGGAAGATACCAGCCTGCATTGGCAACATTGGAGGGAGTTTCCTTATCCCAGAGTTCTCAGTACCAGTGAAATCAAAGGTCAGGTCAGGCCCCGAAACTTGTCAAATACTTCTTGTATATAAAGCCCTGTGCCAGTCCCTGGAGGATCTGCAAAAAAGGGTAGGCAGCCCCTTTGCCCTCCAAGAGCTTAGCTGGAAGAGTCACATGATGGGGAGGCCTAGGAGACTGGCTTTGGAGGCCAAGGGCCTGGCTTCAAATCCTTCCTCTGACATGTAACCTCTGTAACCTTGGGCACATCATCCGTAAAATAAGAGGGGCTAGGAGGTGGGTGGCATGGATGACCTCTGAAGACCCTCCCAGCTTCAGATGAGTGAGATGAGATTGTATAAGTAGTTGCAAGTGTCAGTGTAATAAAATGGGCAGGGCACTCACCTTGCAGGCGGAAAGGATAGACATCCTGGCCTAGAGTCCTGCTTCTGATACCTACTGACTGTGGGACCCTGGCAACTTCTCTTAAGGCTGGAAGTTAGAGTAGCCAGGGTTGCCTACATGCATAGGTGGAGAGAGTTGCCTTATCAGGAATTCCCTACTAATGAAATCCTGATTTAAATGGAGGGTATTGTTTGTTTGTTTGTTTGTTTTGGGGGGAGGGCAATGTTAGCTAGCCTTGCTATCAGTAAATCTTCTGAGTCCTGAAGGTTAGTGACAAAAGACTTCTAATACAGAAAAAGCCACTTCTGATGGCCTTTAGGTGACTTTAGTCAAACTAAGGTCATTCTGTGCCTCTCTTTACCCAGGGTGACTGCCTCCCCCTCCCGAAACTTTCCAGGGAAGTTTTGGATATCACAATTCCTTTTTTTCTCCCAAATGTTAAAATTCCCAGTTGTTAGTAGAAAGGGGTAATTCAATCGAGTCCTTAGTTTTTCTGAAATTTTCTTTAGCTAATGACTAGACCTTAGAAGAGTTGAGGGAGAGAAACCTGGAGAAACCAATTCCTTTCTAGTCAAGACTTCCATGTTGCTAGCACTTCCCAGGCCCCGCCCCACTACTATTTCTACAACTACTACTCCTACCGCCGCTGTCCATACAAATATCCCTCTATTTTGTGTGCTTCAGGGTTATTCCAGATTTTCACTTAGAATTTGTGGATGGTCTCCAAGGTCATAGGAGTATAGCGTTAGAGGTGGAAGGGACATCAGAGGTCATCTAGAAAACCCCAATGAAGGCTCAGAAAGTGGAAATGACTTGCCCAAAGTCACAGACAATAGATATGTGGCTGAGCCAGGATTCTTTTGAGGTCCTCCGACTCCCAAATCCATCATTGGAATCTCTTTAGTGTGTCTCCTAAGCCAGTAAGGGAAAAGAGCCACTCCTCTGACCTCATACCAAGACAGTGTATTTGACTTGAGACAGACCTCCAGTGGACAGATGGGTTCCCTCTTTTTTGTATGGGATGCTAAGACTGAATTATAGATTTTCCTGTACAATGATCTGGGCTAGTATACAGAAGCGACCTGGGCCTTTATGAATGGGTCATCTGCTTGGACCCATAGCATACTCGAGTGAACTTCTGGCCACTTTCGAAGGAGTCTTTTGATCAAGGCAGATCTTACTTACCCTTGGCCAATGACTGTCCCATTGCCTAAGGCAAGATGGCGACCAAGTGTGGTTTCAGCGTTTCTCCTGGCTTACGTGTAGCCCTTGCGTTCCCTGTATAAGAGCTATCGTATAGACGGCAGTGGATGGCAGGTTGTGATTGTCTGGCAAGATTTCTCATTTGGCATGAGATGGCGTGTTCTCACAGGTCCAGTTAGGGCTATGCGGTGTCTGTGAGGGCAGCCAGGACCATGTCTGTCTGTTTGTCTGTGTGTGTATGTCGGGGGCGGAGGGAACACGTAGCATGCCGGCCATCCTCTCAGAGGACCTGAGAGAGATACCAGGCCCTCTCCCAAGGCCTGTCTGAGGAACCTCAAGGGAGCTGGTGCTTGAAGGCCTCGGGGTTGTCACCGTTTCAATGTCTGTCTCTACATCTGTCTGTCTTTAGGAAGAGAAAAGTTGGTCATCAGACTGGACCCAATATTTGAACAGAAAATGGAGAGCACAATTGGTGAGCATATGGTGCCCAAGCCTGAAGAAAAACAAGTGGCAGAAAACATTAGTGACCAGCAGCAGGTAAGGGGATGGGGGGTACCTCAGCAGGCCATTGACCCACACACCCTGGGACGGTAAAGCAGTTAACCAGCTCCCAGGCACGTAGATGAAAAGACTGCTCAAAGGAAACCATACTGTGAATAACTGACTCTGGAGATCAGATAATGACATAGACTACCCTCTTCTTCCTCTTCCTGGCAGAGTGGTGGGGGTCTACTAGGGCAGAATGGTGAGGCCACCATAAGAGTCACTTTGACAGGCCATGATGTTCTTTAAGTTTTGTACCCGCCTACTTCCAAGAGGATTTGTGGTAGCTGCCAAGTTAGAGCACAGTGCCGGACAGGCCATTTCAGGGTTAAATGAGAGTTCCGATTTTAAAAGCCCTTTCCTCACAGCAAGCCTGTGAGGAGAGGTTGGTGCAAGCAGCCCAGCCCAGACAAAGATGGTTCGGGAAGATAACTGAAAATGAGCTTGGTGCCAGTTGATACTGTTCCGAGAGTCAATAAAAGAAGAAAGAGCCATTCAGGAAATTACCATTGCCTGAGTCTGAAGTCAAATGCTCAGGGTACTGATAAGAAGAATTGAGAGAAATGGGAAAAATGTAATAATGATCACATCTGGCAGACAGAATTGACTAAGAGTCGGGCCCGCCTGAGCGAGGCGGCATTCGGCCATTTTGCCTTGGAACTAAAGGCCACTGAGGCACTAGAGGAAGGGGACATAAAAGCTGTCTCCAGCAGAGGATGCAAATGATGGCCCTGGAAATACTGTTGGCTACCTAGTTGGATTTGGTTGTAATGGTGTCACTGAGCAGTGGATTCCATAAGCGTCTGGCCCATTTGGAGAGGCGTGTCTTCCGTTCATCACGGCAGCCAATTAAGACAAGGTCAGCCTTGATATTGGTGGAAGCGATGGGGAAGAGATAGCTAACGTGGACGTAGGAGTCTTGGCTAGCATAATGAGAACTGCCATTTAGGTGGGGTTTGCCGGTTGGCAAAGCCCGTTCTGTACAGTGTCTCATTTGATCTTGGGTGGTCACTGCTGTTGTTATCCTCATTTTATAGATAAAGAAACTGAGACTCAGAGATGTAAAATGACTTAGCCAAGGGGACACATCTATGCGAGTGTCTGATCTGAGATTCGACCCCAGGTCCTTACGACTCCAAGTCCATTGGTCTTTTTCACTACAGTCTCACTGCCTCTTGGATCCCATGAGGCCAGTGAAATAATACAAAGAAACTGGGGAAGCTAATGAATGTGGGCAGAAATAACTAACCTGCACCAAGGAGGGGGTTTCAAGGGAATTCATCTGAAATAATAACTGATAATAATACAGGATGACATTTCAATCGTGTTTTTGTGTTTGCAAAGTACTTTATGTATGTGATGGCCAAAACTTAATCATGTTGGACAGTCTAGGCAGAGCTGAGCTAGCACTGGGAGCAAAAGAACATGACTGTCATGCTGAGATGTTCTGAATCAGAGCCTTTGGGATATGAAGGCATGTCCAGAGACTGCTGAGTCCATTCTCTACTCCCTAGGCCTGCACTGCCGTGAAAGAAACCGTAGAGATGGGTGTCTCAGAAAATCCTCAGATACATAGATCATGGCTTCTCTGAGAAGTCCATTTGTGAACCTCACATTCTTTGTTTCCAAGTGTTTCTCTCATTTCTAATCCCAGTGCTGCTTCTTGTCACCTAAGCCTACTCCTACCCCGTTCCATCCTTCACGGCCTTGGCAAATAGTGGTGCTCTGTATCCATTATAGCCACTTGTTAGACACATAGTTGAAAGCGTTATCCTTACTTTGAAAACAGTTGCCCTCTTCTCTCCAGATCAGATCTCATTACCGTGAGAATCTATAGAACATACAGATTTACAAACCAAAGCCAGTACCCCTATTTGTTTCAGTAGTATTCGACATGGCATACTATTATAACAGGAGAATTTGGACTGTTACAGGAAATCTCTTGTAATCAGCATCAGATCTCAATCTCTGTAATGATCGTGAAACATCCCATCATAATGTAGCATGGCAAGAGGGCTCATATGATATTCTGAGATGGCACCTGATATGTTGAGAGAGGTGATTTCCCTTTGAAAAAGTGAGAGAGCCCCTTAACTAGTGGAGAACATGGACTAGTCCAGCTGAAATTGACTTACACTCGCTGCCCCCCACCCCCACCCCTCCCCACCACCCTTTTTTCAGCTCAGTCCTGTTGATAACCTGAGACTTGCTCTGGTGCTGGAGAGGGCTGAGGTGCCTGTCAGTAATTCTTGTGTAGAGGTGTTGGGTGCGGTTCAGAGATAAGTGACAAAATAGGGTTGAGAATCCAAGCATTACTCAAAGTGACTGGGAGCTGGCGTTTCTGGAGTGGGGAGTGGAGTTTATCTCAAGTCTGTGAGTCTCCCTCCCCCAACCTCTACCAATCCTTGACTTTGCTAGCTGCCTGTGAGATCGAGAAATGAGGGATTGAACGTGATAAAGAAGTGAAACATAGATATGGTCTCAAAAGTGGCCTTTGGAGAAATGCCCTGGGAAGCAATGGGGGTGGGGGAGTGGGGTGTGCTTTATTCTCTGCAGTTTCTTCCCAGAGTCAGAATCTTTGCTCTCTGTATGCAGTTCCTCTCTCATACACAGCCGCCGGTGACAACAATCTCAGAGTTGGACTTTAGCTGACAAATTGTTGATGTTGCCCAAGCCAAATGGAATCAATAGAGTGCTTTGCTAATACGATAAGCTTAGCTCTTCAGTGTTCAGAGGAGAAGGGAAAAAAGTAAAGCCCCTGACCTGAATAGATAGCAGAGCACCGAACAACTGTTAACTCATTAATCCATATTCACCCCAACCCTAAAATCTCAGGATATAAAGGCTCAGTTAATACTATTCCATTTGAAGATGAGTAAACTGAGGCACAGAGAGCCCAAGTGGCTTGTTCAAAGTTGCCCAACCACTCAGGAGAAAGCCCACTCTATCCCTGCCTGCCCCCTGCTATGAAGACCACTGAGACCATGCTTTCTACTTTATTCATTTTGGAAGAGCATACTCTGGTTGGACTGCCAGCTTCCTTTGGCATAAAGGTGCACAGGAAGGGAGAACGGGGGAGGCATTAGAAATCAGGAATGAGAATGCCTTCCTCCTTCTGTTGGCGTTGGCACTGTCATCGTCAGAGCTAATTCACCTGCTTTCAGAGTAACTGCCTGCTGTCTCCCTTGGGTATGCATTCTGCCAGGGAAACATGGCATATCTCTTGTTCATCAGAGCCAACCAGAGCTGAATTCAGTGAATCATCAGATCTGTAATCCCTACCGACGCAGATCCCGTCTGTACCTCTAGTGAGAGGGAAAATTGAGTCTCCCTACATTGGCACTAGGGTCACTAACCCAAGTCACATCTGAGAGGTCAGTGGTTCTGAATGTCACAACTGCTGCCTGCTGTCCTCCCTGTCTGCCTCTCTTCATAATCTTTTTTCCCCCACAGGCCAAGAAATGTACTGTGATCGGGGGCTCTGGGTTTTTGGGCCAACATTTGGTTGAACAGCTGCTGGCCAGAGGCTACACAGTCAACGTCTTCGACATCCGGCAAGGATTCGAGAACCCCAAGGTGAACTTTTTCCTGGGAGACCTCTGCAGTAAAAAGGTATAGTACCAATGAGACCCTCCTAGCTCACCCCAGATCCTCAGGAACCAGGGGAATGTTATTTGACTGATCTTGTTAGATACTAGCACTTAGTTTTCTTAGACCTCTTCCATTCAGGTCCCCAGAGATGAATGGTATTACGTCCTTTATTTGGGGTAAGTGGCTAACCTTCAGGAGAGACCCTTCTACAAGCAATGCCATTGCTGTGTCAAAGGATCAGTGCCACATTCGAACTGCTGACCTCTGAGGTCCCTTTCATTCTTAGGAGGTCTGAAAGTCATCGGAGTTCTTCTGAGCAATGATAGACCCAGCCCTGGCACTGAAGCTGGTCACCTTCAAGGTGCACCACCAGCTTCTCAGTTTTTTTTTGCTTTTGTTTTTGTTTGTTTTTGTTTTTGTTTTTGTTTTAGTGAGGCAGTCGGGGTTAAGTGACTTGCCCAAGGTCACACAGCTAGTACGTGTCAAGTGTTTGGTCTGAGGCGGGATTTGAAGTCAGGTCCTCCTGACTTCAGGGCCAGTGCTCTATCCAGTGCACCACTTAGCTGCCCCCAGCTTCTCAGTTTTGACTCAGTCTAGGCAACCTTAGCCCTTTGACATACCTGATTGCTGAACCCCAACCTGAAGCCTGAAGCTCACTCGGCCATCCCTAATGAGTTGCCTAGTTCATTTCCCCTCTCCTGCTGCTCCTCTCACCATTTCTTGGAGCTTGTTTCTGGCAGCTCCCTTGGCTTCTTTGCCCACTTTCCATAAGCCACTAGACACTTCAGACCCCAGGGGAGTGTGTATGCTAGGATTTCTTGACAAGGAAATTGAGAGTGTATTAATTCTGAAATTGTACACCAGGTATGTATGACAGGTACAAATAAAAGAAATCTAGCCCAGCCTAGATTAGAAGGCCCTGACATGTTCTAATCTCTTCTGCCTAGCTACTGTTAGTAACCCAGACTTAGCATGAGCCCGTCACTGGTCTCCCCAGAGTTTCAGAAGGCCCTGAAGGCCTGGCAGGAGTATCCATGGGCTTCCTGTGATACTAGACTCACTCTGAGCCTGGAGATTGATTGCTCTGTGGGCCTGGTGCTCTTCCCACATAACAACTTAGTCATCATCAGCCTAATAGCTAACATTTTTCTAGCTCTTTAAGGTTTGCAAGGCACTTTACCTATATTATCTCAGTTGATGCCCACAACAGCCCTGTGAAGTAGGTGCTATTATTCTCATCCCCATTTTACAGATGAGGAAACTGAGTCACACAGCTAGTAAGTGTCTGAGGTGATATTTGAATTCAGGACTTCCTGAAGCAACTTTTAAGTTAACCTCACTCTTCACTCTTCTATATTCCTCTTCTAGAGCCTATAGGCTGTGGAACTGGAAGGGACCTTAGATGTTACCTAGTACCTCCACCCATTTCATAGAGAAGATTACTGAGGCCCAGAGAGAGAAGGTGACTTGCCCATGGTCACACAGGCAGTAACTAATTACCATAGAGGGGATTGGCACTCATCTTGGATGACTTCAAGTCCAGAGCATTTCCTACTGTGGCAGGGTTAACTAACTCAGCGAACTGCTTCTGGGCTAATTCATTCCCAGGCCTCTCTTTCATACAGGCCAAGCCCCCGTTACCTCCCAGATATCCAGCTATCTCTTTGTGGAAGCCCCCAAAGGCCAGGCTTTTCAGCTCTGTCTAGGGAGCACAAGTGCTCATGAGTGCCAAAGGCTAGACATGGGCCCGGCCCAGCCAAGGAGGGTGTGGGCAGCAAGATCTATGTCTGCCTTCTGGAGGAGTAGCCATGGTATGTTATGGGCTTCTTTTTTTTTTTTTTAAATTGGGCATTGGAACAATTGTGTGACATGAGCATTGATTCATAAGAGCCCTAAAGTGAAGTAGAAAACCACACTGAAAAGATGGGCTTTCACTGTGTATAACCCCAAGGTGGACAGGCCCAACTGGCGAGATGTCAGCTACATGTCCCTCTCATGCTCGCGGACTCTTGCAAAGCCCTCTGTCAGAGGATGGACTCAGGGTACTGAATGAGGCATACATTTTTGGACACAGCCAGTGTGGAAATTTGTTTTGCTGGACTACACATACCTGTTCTAAGGGTTTTGGAGGAAGGAGGGGAGGGAGAAGGGCCTATCGGTAGGATTACCAGAAAGAAAAGAGAGAGCATTGTTGAAGCATTTTTTAAATTTTAATTTATTTTGTTTTTAATTTATGGAATAAAACAAGCATTGCTGTAACATAGTATGATAAAAAAAAAGAGAATTGCTGATGAAACTGCAAATCTGTTATGTACAACTTGATACCCTTTTTAAATACATAATAAAGTTTTTATGTAGATTTCTTTTTTTTTTCCTCCTGGCAGCGGGGGGGGGGGGGGGGGGCCCTTCCCCGCCCTAGAGATGGCTACAATTAGACACAAATATGTGTGTGTGTCTATGTATGTATGAATGTATCTATGTATGTATGTATGCATGAATGCATCTATGTATGTATATATGAATGTATCTATGTATGTATGTATATATGTATGAATGTATCTATGTATGTATGTATATATTAATGTATCTATGTATGTATGAATGTGTGTCTATGTATATATGTATGAATGTATCTATGTGTGTATGTATGTATGAATGTATCTATGTATGTATGTATGTATGAATGTATCTGTGTATGTGAATGTATCTATGTATCTATATATGTGTGTATGAATATATCTATGTATGTATGAGTGTATGTATGTATGTATGTGTGTATCTGTGTATGTATGTATGTAAAATCATTCTATACATCTATTTATCGGTTCTTTCTCTGGATGCAGATAACATCTTCCTTCATATGTCCTTTGTAGTTAATTTGGGCATTTATAATAGTCAGAATTTTTATTTTTTAATACTTATTTGAGCTTATGGAAGTGATTGTTGATAAATCTAAATTAATTCAAATTTAAAAAATACTTATTTGCTCAAAGTTGTTTTTAAAACAATATTGCTGTAACTGTATACAGTGTTCTCTTGGTTCTGCTCATTTCACCCTTCATTATTTCATGCAAGTCTATCCATGTTTTTCTAAGATCGTTGAGCTCATCATTTCTTATGGCACAGTAGTATTCCATCACAATCATAGACCACAACTTATTCAGCCATTCCCCAATTGATGGGCACCCCCTCAATTTCTGGTTCTTTACAACCATGAAGAGAACTGCTATAAATATTTTAGAACATATAGGTTCTTTTCCTTTTTCCCTGATCATCTTTGGAAATAGGCCTAATAGTGGTATTGCTGGGTCAAAGGGTATCCGGTGTGGGGAACCTGTGGCCTTCTAGATCCTCGGGTGAGGCCTTTGGACTGAATCCAAGTTTTACAAAACAGATCCTTTTATTAGGGGGATTTGTTCTGTGAAGTTTGGATTCAAGCAAAGGGCTGCACTCGAGGACCTGGAGAGCTTCATGTGGCCTCGAGGCTGCACGTTCCCCACCCCTGGGCAGTTTAATAACCAGAACAGAAGGAAGGCCAGAAAGAAACACAGACAGGCAGCATAACTTTGAAAGTTACACATTGAATTTATTATACACTTAAAAGGAAAAGCAAGCTGTGTGTAAGAGAGATTTGCAGTTCTATGTACAATTCTTTTTCTGCTCTCCTTTGTGTATGGAAACATTTAGTTTATCTGGTGCTTTGGCAAGTTCAGAAGAACAAAAAAAGTTGATAAGTAAGCCCTGTCTCTTCTCCCTGAGACCAAAGCTAGATGCCAGTGGACCTTTGAGGGTAACATCAGAGATGTGAGCTAGGAGGCGGAGAAGGCAAATAGGTTTCCTAGCCACCAGAAGAATACCAAGGCTACTACTTGACCTTCTTTTTCCCTTTCTTTTGCTTGCCCATCCAGGATCTATACCCTGCTCTGAGGGGGGTGAAGACAGTTTTCCACTGTGCATCGCCAGCACCATCTTCTGATGATAAGGAGCTCTTTTATAGAGTGAACTACACTGGCACCAAGACAGTCATCGAAGCATGCAAAGAGGCTGGAGTTCAGGTACAGAGCACCAGCCTAGAGGACTGATGGTTTCAAAGTGACAGCGACAATGACAGACCTTTGAATTGGAGCTGGCCTGTAGTCCACCTCTCTCATTTTACAGAGGAGGAAACAGAGGCCCACACTGGGAAAAGATCTCACTCAAGGTTACATATAAGATTATAAGTACAAAGGGGGAAAGGAATCTAACCATCTTCATTTTACAGAGAAGGAAACTGAGGTCCAGAGATGGGGAGAAGCTTGCTGAAGGTCACAAAGTTAGTAAGTGGCAGCCCTGGAGTTTGAAGTTGGGCTTCCTGACTCCCAATCCAGTATCCTTTGCAGTGTTGCATGCTGGGCCATGTTTTTCCTTGAACTCTGTCTGGATGCCGCCTCAGGGTTTTTTGTTTTGGTATTGGGGGAGAACCTGAAAAATTTGTTTTCTCTAAGTCACTGCTTATCTAGATGGGCAACTTTCCTGGAGGAACAGAGTGAGAGGGACAGTTGTATTTGATTTAACCAGTGATAACTCTGACAGTTCAAGGGTAGCTAATGGGTTCTTTTTTGACAGTCTGTAATCATCTGATTATCTTGATCTCAGATGAAAGAACCATAGCAAGTGAGTGCTGCCTGCCTTTTAGGAAACCATGTGTTTGCTTTTGACCCACAGAAGTGGGGCTCCCAGGCCACGTGAGCTTAGCTCATAGCCACTGCTTCCCCAACTATCACTGTGGTCATCTCGTACAGATTAGAGTGAGAAAGGACCTTTGAGGTCATCTCATCCAGCTAGGCCCAGAGAAAAGTGACTGACCTAAGGTAGGTAATAACAGGTAGGCAAGACCATAGGTGAGCCAGGATCTGACTCCAAAAAGAAAAATCAATTACTCAGCCCATTTTAATTATCCCAGTTTGCCCTGCTAAGACCCTAAGGAGCTGGGGCATTTCTCTCCTGAAAAGTTTCTGCTTGCCACCAGCTTATACCTCTTAGAAGGGCAAAGAAGACTAGAATAGTCCTCTAAAGCTTGGATAGGTAAATCACCTGACTTCTCAGTGCAGAAAATTTTGAGTTGGGGTGGGGAAGACTTGAGTTCAGATCCTGTCATAGACACTTAGTGTGTGAACCTGGACAAGTTCCTTGAGCTCCCTGAGCCTCAGTTCCCTCATCTGTAAAATGGAAATAAGAATAGCATCTACCTCATTGGGTGGTTGTCCCAGACTTCAAAGCTCTCTAACAATGTGAGCAGTTGTTACTGTTTTCCTTGAGTACTTGTGGCCCTGGGGGGTGGATAGTTCATCTTTTCCCCTGTGGCTAAGTGCAACCTGCAGAATGTCAAGCCCTCTCTTTATGTGTTTTCACTGTACCTTGAACGAAAGAGAGAGGAACTACGTGTTTCTGTATGCCCCTTGGAGTTTACTGCTTTGGGGTTTTTGCATAATGGCCAGATCCAGGTTCCCACCCTCTCTGTCCAATTCCAGCCTAGGGAACCCTGGAGCTGGGGAATAGGAGGGGGGTGGCAGCCACAGAATTATTGCCAGCCCAGTGGGAATCCCCCTTCCGTGTCCCAAATATTGTCATGTGTTTTCTTGACCAATAAGATACCACCAAGGGGTGTGGGGGTGAGGGAGGGAGGGGGTGGCACAAAATTATGGGAGGTTAAGAAGGGGCCCTTACAGTTGAGAAGGTTGGGACTCTCTGCCTCATTGCCTACTGCAGTTACTAACCCACACATGCACTAACCTCCCACCCCGAAATTGCTACCTTCCCCTCTGACCTCACTGAGCAGTTTGTACCTCATTTTTGGTACTTATTAACAAGTATTATTTTGTGGAATAGTTGTGTGTGTGTGTGTGTGTGTGTGTGTGTGTGTGTGTGTGTGTGTGT